TTCTAAGGATTTTGCAAATCCCACCTAGGAGGTGAAGCGGTGTTAAGTCGACCTTTTCTTTCCAGGGGGCGGCAGGGTCCGGAAAGAGAAAGGACGCGTCGGCTTAGACAGCCCCCCCACCCCCACTTCCGTACACACACACCGCCTAGCCCGCCCCGGGTGCTCACCCCCACCTCAGAAGTCCAGTGGAAGAGAAGTGGAGAAAGTCCGCTTTCCAGAGCCCAGCGACTAGTGTCTGAAAGGGAGGCCTGGGGATGAGTGCAGCAAGGCGGCCGCAAGGCTTCCGGGCTGACTCAGGTGGGTGCTTTGGGGATTTCTGCTCCTCGCCGCCCAGGCCAAGCGCTGCCTCCCAGGCCTTCATCCTTCCCGTCTGTTTGGTTTGGCAGATGTGCGGAGCCCCCCCCCCCCCCCCCCCCCCCCGTGACCCCGGGCGCCCGGAGCCTCGACAGACAAATCCTTCTTTGTGAGAAGGGCCCGCCTCCCTGGTGAAACCACCTGTACTCCGGATATATGGGTCTGGTCCTAGAGAAATATTTAATCGGGAAATGGCCACTCGATATTGTCGAGGAAGAAAGCCAGTTACGAAACAGCACGGGCGATAGGCTCTTGTTTGAGAGGACAAAACCAACACTAGGCACACATACCCTGAGGTTTCGAAATGACCGGAAGCATACACCCCAGACTATATTTTTGGATTACTGGGTTATAGGTGATTTTCATTTTCTTTATTTTATTAATCTGTTTTAAGTGGTTTCAACGGTAAATGGCTTTTTCTCCTAACGAGAATAAATGATAAATGTTATTTTTAGAAGGAAAGTATCACAGCCACCGGTGGGAAGAGAGTCAGTGGATGGATCCTGGGCATGACCTTGCTCCTTAGTGACCCGTGACAGTCACCCTGGAGGTAAGGTGTGTGAAGGCTGCGTAATATTCTAGGATGAGGCTATGATTCAGCAGTTTATATCCCCACCCAGAACTCTCGCTTCCTATTTGAGAAGTTCTGCTCACAGGAGTAGTAGGTGGATCTTTGGCAGTATGACTTGGGAGAAGGTAAAAGGTTCTACGTGTCTCAGTGTAACCCCGAAATTCCCTTTGGGTGAAAGAATTGTTAGGTGTCTGAGACCAGGAACCTTCTCCTCAACTCTGAGGCACAGATATGTCTGCTTGTGAACCGTGACTGCAGCCAGCCACCTGAGAAGCATGCTGCCCAGAGGCACAGGCGTGGCTATAGGAGCTCCGAGGGGGCGGAGCATGAAGGGAGGGAGACCAACAAGGGAAAGACACAAAGATACATTTTTGAGGGGTCATTATTTTCCCTTTCAAAGGCCAGACCTGGAATGTTCCCACAGACATTCCAGTGGCCAGAGGAAGTAAGGAAATGCCATCTCCCTGGGTGTCCAGGAAGTGGAAATGGTAGAGCATCATCTCTGCCACAGGAACCCTTCAGCTGTATCACTACCTCCTCCATAGCAATCAGGGTCCTTCCATAGCCCTCCAGAATCCTCTAGCATTTCCTGTGCATACTGTCCATCTTGTGACTTTTTAGAGGCTGCATTCTGTCCCCAGACTGGACAGGAGCTCCTTATTTTTCACCTCTTTGCTCTCCAGTGCCTGGCACAGGGCTCCGGAGGGAGTTGGACACCGCCATCAATGGCCAGGAAGTGACTGAGATGCTCAGAAGTGTGTCACCTGTGCTGTCCTCGCGCATTACTAAGAACAGTTATGTGGATGGAATACCAAAGTTAACAACCAGGTGCTCTTTACTCGGTTACTGAACTGGACGGAGAAGAGAGGGAATCCAAAACTGAGGTCAGCTGCCTTATTGATTTAGTCAGGAGGGAGAAAGTTGTCCCAGCCAGAGCACCCAGGATGTCCAGCTGGCTGCCTTCAGGATCTTACGTCTTGGGAAGCAGTGGGTCAACACCTAGCATTACTTGTTGAAGTCGAACAAGGATTTATTTACTGATCAGACAGAATTTTTTTAAATGTATATTTCCTGCTAAGAATGGAATTAAAAGGCAGCTAATCCTGGCAGGAATTGCTGATTCCGTGTCTGAAGACAAGAAATGTAAAGATGAGTTCAGAACACTTTGTCATACCAGAAAGCAGGGAATAACCAAATATTGCTAGCGTCATGCCGGGATGACCTTGGAGTGAAGCCGAAGAGGCTCCCAGCGGATCTATAAATTCACAGTGTCACTCAAAAGAAACAAACTTCGTAGGCCATGTTGGAAGATGTTAAAAGAACCGTCTTATTTTGAGAACTGACAAAAAAGAAATCGTGTATTTTGGTGTTCCTAAATGAATTGTACTTTAGAGTAACCAAATAGCTGATGGAATAATTTTTCCTTATGGGAGTATTCCAGCTAATAATAACTCTTGGTAATGATTATCGACAGCTTGTGATATCACAAAAAGAGACAAGCTGACACTATATGCCTCCTGATGGAAATACACAGTCCTATGAAATCATGTTGCCCAAAATTTGAACCTGATTCTGATCGTGCTTCTAGATGTAACTAGCAATTTTCAGAAAATACAGTGAAGTATTAAGTGGCACTGTAAGGACCTAAGCAGCAAAATCCAGGCTATAGGGGACAAAAGCTCCTCTGACAAATAAAAAATTTTTTTTAAAGATTTTATTTATTTGACAGAGAGACAGCGAGAGAGGGAACACAAGCAGGGGGAGTGGGAGAGGGAGAAGCAGATTCCCTGCTGAGCAGGGAGCCCGATGCGGGGCTCCATCCCAGGACCCTGGGATCATGATCTGAGCCAAAGGCAGACGCTTAACGACTGAGCCACCCAGGTGCCCCTGACAAATTTTAAAGAACAAAGCGAGTGGTAGGAGAAGAGGGAACCTATACAGTGAAAGGTACTTGAGATATGTATTATTTAATTCCAGGGGATCTAGTTGGTTCTTTTTTAAAATCTCCTTGCAGCCACTAGACTATAACCTCCATAAAGGCAGGGCATTTTGTCCATTTTGTACACTGCTTTATCCCTCTTCCCTAGAACTGGAATAATATTTGTTCATGGACAAATACATGAATTCATCTCCCTGCTGTAGCTAATGAGATAAGGAATAAATGGCTGACTTAGTTAAGACTCTCTGGGAGCAAATGAGAGCTGAAGGTTCTTCTGTCCCCTCCAATGTTTGATGATCTCAAAGTCTGCTGATTCTTCCCCTGAAAATCTATCTTGAGGACAGTTACCGACTGCTTTAGTTTGGGTTCCAGAGAGGCAGACCCTGAGAACCCTGAGAAAAGTATTCAAGTGCAAGGAGTTTATTTTGGAAAGGATCCCAAGAAACATCTATGGGTAAGTTGGGAACTGAGAGAGGAACAGAATGGCAGCCAATACAGGGCGTATTATAAAGCACATCTCTTTGTGGACATCTGGAGCTTAATGCCAGTGGGGAGTTCTGGGAGTCAGTGTAGGGTTATCCCACCTTAGGGGCGAGGGAGCTTCGGTCTTTGTATGGCACTTGCATCAGTCATTGAATGAGGACTGCTGGGGTTGGGGTGAGGGGTTTATTCAGTCAGAGCCACGGGGGTGGGGCACCTTCATCAGGTACTACCCTGATAAACTTACTGACTCTGACAATATATATCTAATAAGACAAATATTTAACACAGTGCTAGGCTCACATAGATATTAGCCGGGGGTAGTAGATAAATCAGATTCTGGGGTCAACCCACCTTGGGTTCAGCAATCATTTCTTCTGTTTACCTGCTTTGTGACCCTGAAAAAAATCACTCAGCATCTGTGCTTCAGTTCCCTCGTATATAAAAAGGGTCTGAGGCATAAGATTGATAGGGAGAATAAATAAGATCGTACCTGGCAAACAGTCAGCGCTAGAAAAGAAATTTACATCTTTTCCCTTCTCTTGGATTTAAGCCAAAACAAATTATGAAATTTCAGGCATCCGTGAACCAGAGGACGAGGAAAAGGGAAGACAACTTTCTGGTATTCCTGAGTTACAGTATGGAGGAAACACGGCCACCCTGCTTTCTAGGTTGGAGCGCGAGTGTCCACAAGAGTGCAGTACCACTGACAGAAATGGAGAAGCTGGAGACAGAGGTTGTTTCAGTGTGAGGGTGACTAATGAAGCCATTCAGGCAAATATTTGGACCTTTAGTCCCTGAGAGGTCGGAGATCTGAATGCCATCCTAGACTTTGACAACCTACTAGCTCAACTTAAGCATATTTAGCAAATGTATATACACTTTGATAGAGATCACTTGATTTGAGTTAGAAAACACCGTCTAGAGTTCTCACTGGGGCAAGGGACATAGAAGCACAACTTGGTGAGAGACCGAAGGATTGGGGCAAAGGGAAAGAAGGTCAGCCGGCCTGTGGTGCCTACGGTGTCTGAGAAGACTTTTTCATTCTCGTGTGTGGCAAAAAAAACATTGCTATCACTAATGCACATGACCGTATGTTCGTCTAAAATTTATATGGAGCTGGAAATGAAAAGGGCACAGTTGGAATTGTTTGGGTTTTGGTGTTTCCTCCTAAATGCTTTAAGACTTCGTTGTGAAGCTTCCAGCGATCATACCTGGTTGTGGCTTGTGGTTCCAGTTGTCCTTCCGATGGGCCAATTTTTTTAATGAATGACTAGAATGGTAGTAGGCAAATGACAAATGGGCAGGGGTGGGGTGAGGGAGGAGTTCTCAAATATAGATGTAAAAATGAGAAAGAATGAGGAGGAGGGGAGGGAGAAAGGACAAGAAATAAGAAAGAACAGGAAAAAGAACTCCAAAGGACTGGGATATAAAAATTTCCATAGAGTAATTCTGTAGTTTACCCATATATATGCAATAAATGTTTGCCAGTCCCTTCTAATGTGTCAGGGATGGTTCTAGGAGCTGGAGCCACATCAGTGAATCAAACATGCCTTTCTGGCACTTGCATTGTAGTGGTTCTGCTGGAGGGCCCATTTAGGAAGTTGTGGCAAGACTGAAGTCCGGTTTAGTTAAGACTTTGTAGCTCTTTGGGTCCCTTGGCGTCATCCCTTAGGTCAGAGATCTAAATCGAGATCTGCCTTTTACAATCTAAAAGCCGAGGAGCGGCAGAGTGTCTGCTATGAGAATTCTCCCTGGCCGGATAGGATTGGAAATTGGAAGAGAAGCGACTCAGTGAGAATGTTGCCAAGCAACAGATCAGAGTCACCAAATCCTCGGAAACCTTCTGGGTAAGAGAAAAGCAGCATGGTTGTAATTACAGTGGCGGCTCATCTGCCTCTTCCTTGAGTAGCCGTGGGGCAGGAGCACATGTTTATCTTCAGCAGGGCAGAATCTCTCCACATGGAATCCCCATGGGGTGCTTCCAGTTGGCATATTGGTATCCTGGTTACTCGTCCTTCCTTTGCAGAGCAGAATATGCCCCAGAAGTTTTTGTAACAATCATCTAGAAATCACAAGATGAGTAGACGAGTAGCTTGCAAAGAGCAGATAGCTGACATACTACCTTCTTGCCCCCAAACATTTCCGAGCAGGCAGCAAGATATATACTAAAATGCACTGATAGTTCCAAGACAACCAACAATCCCACACAGAAACCTGCATTCATAGATGGCAGTAGGACACCAAGAGACCCGAGGGGAGGAGTTGTGCCATAAGCAAGAGATCGATGGTAAGGTGTGGCTCACCTTACTCTCACCTGGCTCTGCCACTGACTAGCTGTGTGATCTCGGACAGGTCACTTCAGTTCCACCCAGAATCTGATTCCTTCTCGCCATCCCGCAGCTACTACTCTCCAGCCACTGGGATCATTGCAACATCTGCTGCATATCTTCACACCCCAATGGTCTAGAATCGACACAGCAGCCAGAACAAGCCTGGAAAAGCTCTCAGATCTTGTCACTCTTTTGCTCCATCTCCCCTGTGGTTCCTCTTTCCTTCAGAGGAAAAGCCAAGTCCATGCAATGACCTGGAAGGTTCTACAAGATCAGACCTCACCTACTACTGATCTCCTCTCCTACTACTCGAGCCCCTCTTCACCCTGCTCCCCACGCTGTCCTGACAGTCCTAGAACCCGCCGTGTACTGCTAGGGCAGAATATTGGAGCTAGCTCTTCTCTTCTCTTCTCTGTGCCTGGAACCCTGTCTCTCCAACTAGTTCAAATCCAACCTCCTCTTCTATCCCAACTCTGCTTCCTCAGTGAGCCCCATTCTGACTTCCTATTTAAAACTGCAGCCCCTCAATCACTTAACCTGCTCTATTTCTTTTTCTAGAGTATTTATTACCTTCTAAAATACTTCATAAGTTACTTCTTGATTATCTTTACAGTTGATTATCTGCATTCCTCAAAGACCCATGAGGATAAGCATCTTGCTATATTTTTCCACCGATGTACCTGAACTGGCTTAAAAGAACACCTGACACATAGTTAGTGTTCAACAAATATCTGTTAAATGAACAACTCAGAGTACAATGAAAATCTCCATTCACAGGCAGATGGGACTCGAGGCTGAGATGACTGGAAATATCCAGCAGGTTTCTTGCTTTGTTGTCTTCCCAAGGGGTGGGAAGGGATACTTGGGTAGAAACACTACCCTGTCGACTTCCAGGGAAGTAAAGAGTGGTTGTTTCTTGGGCTTCTCCTACCAGCTTGCTCCACCAAGTTCCTACCTGTCCCCGTGGGATTTGTGCTTGACTCAGAGATGAAGGACCAGACTGCTGTCTATCACAGAATGTCTAAACTGGAAGGGATCCCCTCCCTCTGACACACAGTTCGGAGGCATTCATTTCTGCCATGCCCCTTGTATTGAAAGGAATCCAGTGCAGGGTTGTGTAGAAGACAGGATCCACTACTAAGTGGCTAGATGGTTTTCTTAGCATTGGCTGAATCAAGTGCCCTTAAACATTAAGCTGTGTTGAGGTCCAGGACCTCTGCCAAATCATGTTACAAACAGGAAAAGGCAAGTCAAGTCCTGTCTCCTGGTAGGAGGTTAAGTGCCTTCTAGGTAGCACACTCTACAGAATTGTCACCAATATTACCCCAGCATATTCATCCTGGGCGGAGTAGAATGAGGGGTAATAAAATAATCTCTTTCAAGGAGGCCCTACCCCGCCCTCCCCAGGGACAACAGGTAGCAAAATGCAAAAATAGAAGAGAAATTTTGATTATTTTACTGTTTATAGAAATCACTAAGAGTTTAGCTGTCCTTTTTACACTAAAAATACTTTACCAAAAAATCAAAATAACGCTGCAGTGCCTCTGTGCCCATCGTGCAACTTCAGTGACAAGTTCAAAGCCAACCGTATTTCGTTGACCACTCACCAAATAGCAAATACGCTATTTCAAAATAAGGCCATATTTCCAGATTCTGGGTGGACAAGAATTTTGGGGGAGACACTATTCAACCCAGTATAGACCTCAACCGTCCACATCTCTTGACAACTTGGTGGAGATAGTCAAGTTTCTATTTTTCTTGAACCCCTTTGGACAAAATATTTTAAAACTCCCTTTGCTTACTTTTCGACATTTTAAGTCAAAGGTACAGATTCCAATTGTGCTTTTTTTGGTAGACTTCAGCTATCAAATGTGTGTCACGGGTCTGTGTTGAGGTTTGAAGTCTGCTGCGCTCTCTGGTACTTGGGTTGGCACTAGAGAGTTTGTCTTTTTTTCTT